AGACAGTCCTCTGTTTTGTTTACATGACATTCTGCCTACAGGCAGCCTTCTGGTTTACATACGTTACATTCGTCCTGCCTATAAACTGCCTTCCTTTTTTCAATACATGATACAGAGCAGCATTCAGACCAGCGGAAAAATCAGCACAGATTCGGACATTAGCTTTGGCTCTCTTGACAACCACGATTGGAGCGGCCCGTGCAGAGTAATTGACTGGTTGAAGTACACCATCTTGTTAAAGACAATCAAGTTCCTGGTCAACCACAATATGTGCAACATAAGGAACTGGTCTTTTGGGTTTGAAGACTCTAGGTTGAAGGCGGAGAGTGACCTGTATCTTGTTGCAGCAGCAGCCAAGACTGTCCTGAAAAACTGGAGCAAACTTCGCTCGTAGGGTTGAAATCAACTTTGCCGCCAGCTGCGTCAATTTGGCAGGACTCAGCCAAGTTAACTGTTCACCATTGCAAATGTGGTTGAGTGGCAGTTCCAGGAGACCGAGTTTCTCGACCCAGTCAAGGCCAATTACGTCAAGCTTTGGACGGTTTGTTAGGTAACATGTTCCTTTGAATTGAGTGCCATCAAAGAAGACGTCACATTCAAGCTCACCTATGAGCTAGAGAAATCCGCCAGAAACATTCATAGCCTTTTTGCGCGATGTGATCATCGGAGGCCGTCTAATCATCTGCCAACTTCGTTTGGATATGAGGTTGATGTCTGATGCTGTGTCCAGCTGGATGCATAGGGGGTTTGCCCTTGATATTAACCATAAAATACTTCCTCCGTGCCTCAAATTCGGCCTTGAAGGTGACTAGAATGGAGTGGGACTTTAAGCCAGTGTAAGATGAAGAGCCTTCGGAATTCTCGTCTTCCTGTCGCCTGCCCTCGATGTGGGGGTTTGGCCTGCCGGATAGTGATCTTCTTTATGTCCACGTTTATGGCATTCCTGAAAAACTTGCTTCTTGAATGGACAGAAGCGAACGAACACTAGACCAAATATCAAACAACTGGCAGGGGTTGCACAGTCGTCGAGAGCTAATAGGCATTGATAATGGCGATGAATTTTGGTGGTAAACCATCAAGTGCAATTATGGTGAACTGAAAATATAGGCGTTAAAAAAACTACGGTGAAAATGGAGGCCCTAGCTAAACTTCTGGAAAAGATAATTTTTAATCAAATTCTCGATTTT